ATATATATAATAATTATTTATATAATAATATATTAAATCTAATATATTAAATATATAAATAATTATCTATATATTTAGAATAAAATTAATTTTTATAAAAAGTAATATAGAAGCTAATCTGTTATATAGATAGTACAAAATAAAAATCTAGACTTAAAGAAAGATAATCTAATCAAAATTATTATATAATATATCTTTTATAAGTATCTTTTTAATCTTAATAAGTTATTAATAATTAATATTTAAAAGAAATTCTAATAAATATTATAAAAACTGATTTGAAATATATGAATATCATAAAATAATTAAAATATTTGAGTCTATTTAGATTTAAATAGAAAGAAAAATAGAAATTAGAGATATCATCTTAATTAATTATGACTTGCAATAACTAATTAGAAAATTATAATCAATTATAATAATTAATTAGAGAATTGTGATCAAGTTATAAATAATATTATCTTTAGTAAAGATATAAAGATTATAGATAGATGAGCTTTTAGAAAGAGTACAGAATAAGTATTGAGAAATTGAGAATAAAGATGATAATAATATTACTAAAGTATTTATTACATATTTGAATAAGTTATTAGATCCAATTTTTAAAATTATAATATAATAGTTTATTATTTTATAAGTTAATTAATTTTATAATTATATTTATTACTATTATTTTTCACAAAAAAACAAAAAAATAAATAAGCTTTATTTTAATCTTTATAAGCTTTATTCTCAATTGTTAATTGATCAATATTTGATATTATTATTATGATTATCTATTAATTAAAATTATTTAGCTAATCATTACTTATTACGTGTATTTTTCATATAATCTGAATTTAAATTACATGATACTATCTGGCTTTAGTAAACTCCTATCTTTAGTAATTTTTTTCATTTTTATCCTTAACAACAGGAAGTGCTAGTACTCAAATTCTTGCATTTTGCAAGATATGTTTAACATAAAACCTTTTTATTTATAGTAAATATATCACTAATCAGTAAAGTTATTTATATTTTGCAGCACAAAAGTTGCATACAACTATAGCATTAGACTTGTTTCGATTATTTTTTACAAAGATGAAATAGTTGTGAAAACTATGATCTTTTGAATTGTTCGCCATAACGAAATTGTCTGACGTCGATTAAAGTGACATCGTGACTTTGCCACTTCGCTTGTGACTAAATGATCGTCACATAAGGTCATATGAAAAAAATCAAGTGACCTGGTCATTGTCACTGATATGTGCCAATAAATATTTGTGCACATACCAAGGTTCATATTTTAGTCGCGAGCCTTCATTCCTAATCCGGAAATTAAGCCTTATGTTAACCACATTAATGGCATCAAATATGATAATCGAGTAGATAATTTGGAATGGGTAACTCCTAAAGAGAATGCTGAACATAAGGTATTTCCGAACCGTGGTCAAGGCAGGTCCAGGAAAATTGTTCAGAAAACTTTGGATAGAAATGTCGTTCAAATTTGGGATTCCATTGCTCTTGCAAGTTATACACTTAAAATTTCAGGACCTCATATTTCGGCATGTAGTAGAAAGCGGGTGGTTGACGTTGGATGTATTATGAAGATTATATAGAACAAGACCCTAATGAAGAATGGAAAGAAATAGCGGTTGATTTACGAAAATTTAAAGTTTCATCTCTCGGAAGAATTCAGTTATGGAATGGTTTAATCTCTCGAGGATCATTGCACTCAGGATACCTCTGAGTTGAGAAATATCGTATTAGCATTTTATCTAAAAGAGGAAGGCAAAGAATATGTGTATCATATTGATGAAGATACTACCAACAATAATGCATCCAATCTTGGTGTACCTGAAAGAAAACTCTCAGCCCGCTGTTCACCTCGGCCTTTGAGGCAACTGTCATCGACGTGCCGTCAAACGGATTTTTGATGATGGCTCTACTCAAGAATTTCCATCCTTATCTGAAGCACAATGCATAACTGGAATTGATGGATCATATATTGCAAAGGATGTAAAGGTCGTGCTGTTGGATATTATTGGGAGTATGTAGACAATAAGCATTGAGATATATGTTCTTTAGCTTAATTGCACTAAAAATATCTTTTTACTTCATTCGAATGAAGTTCTGGTCCTAATGTATAATCTGCATTTCCATACCTGAAATTTTATTCGCAGATTTATCTCGTTTAGTGATGATGTAAGATAATTTTGTTTAGATCATTTTTTTCGTTCGATTTTGTTTCACTTACGTGAAGAGGATAAAGAACCAACAAGTGAAACTCACCTCATTTATTTTTATACGATTTGTAGCAATATTCGCGGTCCAAGGATCCTAAATATTTCGACTGAAAAACAAATATGATTGACAGATTAACGAATTACTCCACATTTGAAAAAAATATTGTTAAGCAGATCACACAGGATTTAGTATAACTTTATTATTTTTTTCATTAACATTAAGGCTAGAAGGCCATTACAAACGCAAAAACAGAGAATAAATGCTTATAATAAATATTTGTGCTATGTGAACATCATCGGTGATAGTTTTTCATAATCATCACTAAATTGTCTAATAAGTTGATCTACTTGTGGTTGTTCATCTAATCTACACCAATTTCTTAGCATCCTTAACCTTTTGCGAGCTGTCATATTGAATAATTCCTGTTCAGACATGTCGTCAACCATGTCTGCCATTCTGGTCTCATCATCTTCAGGTATGCGTTCGAGAAACTTCGTTTTCTTTTGAAGAAGTGCAAGTTTGTCTACTGAGTAGATGACTTCCTTTCCTGTCCAAGCGGAAAGATTGATTCCTTCTTCGAGTACGAACTGTTTAATTATCGCCAAGGCCGTACCACGATCACCAATTTTAGACTTCGCAATGCATTGTACACTATCTTCATTTTTCAAAGAAGTAGAAAACAATCCAATGGTCATTGCAATCCGTCAAGACGACCATTGCATTTAGAACATAGCAATTATCTACTAAAAATAACTTCCCGATAGCTTGACCTTCTTTGAAATCCTCCTTTGTTTTCTTGGTTTCAATCCAGACGCAAGCTGTCCCACTTGGTCCAATAGATATATCAGAGCCACCTGTTAAAACAACGTTCGCTCCTTGTAAAGGTCGTTGATAGTTCACTTGCGTATGAATATCCTTCACATGAAAACCTCTTGGTAGGTTTAGCGCATTCTTAAACTATATCTCAACATTCTGCATCTGCTGAGCCTCCTCCCTCTCCATATCCCATATCAACGGTTGGCATGTCACGGGATCAAGTGGTTGGAAGTCTTCATCTATTAACTAAATAATTGATAAGTAATTAAGAAACCACTAAAAATAATATAGAAAGGGGTTTCTTACTTACTTATCAATTATTTCGAGAAGAGAGGAGGTCTTCCTCCCACTTGATCCGCACACATTCCATGCGGCGGAAGAGCGGATAGGG